TCCATCCCCATTCTTCATCATCTTCTTCTTCATCCGCCATCGCCGCTTCTCCTTTCGCCGGTGGTCGCAGAGACAGACACTTCAAACAAAGCTTCCCACGTTCGCGATCCTGTGCCAGAGTCTGAGCTTCGTCAAAACACAAATCGAGTCTGGAACAGAGTCCTTCCATATATTTGCTCCAGGTTAATCTTGGCCATCCCCTGGGCCTTCTGCCGGTCGAATTTACAAGGAACAGTTTTTTCTATTCTTTCCATCTAAAATAAATACGATCACGAGACATGTGAACTTTTCCATCTATTCCGCTACATCTCTGTTTATCTATGGATCGAAATGGGCAGGCGAACGACTAAACACTTGGACTTTTGTTTCAGACCTTTAGACACATTTACACTCATGCTTCCAACATCGCTCTTAGCTGTGAATTTTTCCAGAGGACGCCGAAGGTCCGTTTCAGCAGTTGCCAAAGCAACAAAATCATCTGCAAATAACAACCGTCTCGTCGCCACATCTCGTACACGAATACACTCGTTACCGTGGCCGCGCCTGACCACTCTGTCTGTGTATGGCACAAACAGGATAAAGGACAAGTCACAACCTCTGGTTCGAAGAGTACTAACGCTGAAAATTCTCAACTTAGGCCATTTACTCTTATACAGCACCTGCTATCAATATATGGTGACTGCAGGACTTGTAGCAATTAGCTATAAATCCCATATATCTGTATTTACGACCTTAAATTGCTGCGCGGGATCCAGTCATAGTGTGACTTCACCTACTGAAAGACTATGTCCGTTGCCTGATGCTTCGCATGCGAGTCTTCCCGCGGTGACTTTGGGTTAAGGAGTTCCTCAAAGTACTCCCTCCATCGCAAAAGGTCTTCCTGACACATGGCAAGTGGGCGTCAAGATTTATCCCTCAGAACTTTTAGATATTTCTTCTTTCCATCTCGAAATGGGTGATGATTTGTCAAAATACCTTGTTTGCTATATGGAAATTTGACTCTAGAGACTCCCCAAATTTTCCCCTGGAGTCAACCTTCGATTTGCCACTGCCCTCACCTTACGCGCGTTTTTGCACTGCATTCGAGTTGAAGGCTATGTGTTTCTGAATCACCTCTTGAGTGCAGCGTTATTTTTGCTGACAGCCAATTGAACATCTCCTGTTCACCAAAATATTAATTTCTAACCTCCAGGCGGTATACCAACCAGTTTTATACCGAAATATTCGGCGCGATCCTGAATGAGTCCTTCTTACAGAGTCGTCTTCCAACCCGTCTTCCACATCACGGTCATCAATGGCATCTGTTTAACCGTCGTGCGTGTAGTTAGCAAGTCTTAATTGCGTATCCCAGGAAGATAATGCTTCACACTTCATTCTGTGGTTGCTTCTGCTTCAGGGTTTTCGCATACTCCGTCCCTTACAGTGTAGGGTGCCGAAAACAAGGTGATAGCCTGCTAACAGCTCTGCGCCTTTCTCAACGCGAACGTGCATTTCGAATCGCCGTAGGTCCGACGATAAGATTATCAAATCGATCATCTACTTCTGTGCAAAAACTTCCCGGTACCAGATATACTGATGCACTCTTCAATGCTCGAAGAAGGTTTCATAATGGACAGTCCGTTATTTGCTTAAAATCGCAATAACTTCATGCCGTTATTGTTGAGGTCGCTAGAGCCGTTCTTTTTAATCACGCCTTTCCATTTTTCAGTGTCTAATCTGTCTGCGCATTAAATTCGCCCATTAAATAAGGGATTCGTTGTCAGTACTTCGTACAGAGCAAATTTCACTTCCTGAAGGAATGATTCATATTCTCCTTTCACATTAAATCTGTAACAAGGTTAGAACCTGTTTCCTGTTTGCCTGTTTATATTTCAGTCAGATAATTCTCACTCTTCCTCTGACGGCTTTCAATCAATGATTCCGCGAGCCAGGTTGGGTTCTTCTTGAAACCGGACACCAGCTTGAATGAGAGTCGTGAAATCGATATCGGAGTAGAATAGTTCCCATGCGGGGGTTCAGGATGCCAGAGCTTTGGCGCTTTGTTCATGAGGGTCCTGTATGTTAAGCCGATACTTTGGGTCCTTATCAGCTAACTCCTATTCATTTCGTCTGAGTAAGGTGATGCTCCAATTTTCGAATGGAATTTCCTCAGTCGGTATCATTCTCGTGCAACCTGATTTGACCTTCCATAATTGCATTACGCGGTGTGCCTCCTGTGTTCAGAACGGTTAGCGGCTCCGTTGCTGAATGATATGTTCATCGTCTTCTTGTCGGTCTTCGGCAGCACTACTACACCCCTGTTTCCAGAACTGGTGAAGCAGTTTCTGATCGCCGACTTACTGCACTTAATCAATAGCCCGCGCCTTCCTTGATGATCCGGGAGACAGCTGAGCAGGTAACGGGGAATGGGGCCATGCTCTACACGAGACTTCACCACGGTATCCAACCTTTCTCCTTTTCTGCCGGGGTTGAAAGGGCAAAGCAGAGTCTTGAAGTGTCGCTTAATGACAATGAAAGTTATCATTCTTTGTGTCTGTTTTAGTGAAGCCCGCATCGCGTCTGTGCTTCAAAGTCGATACCATCTGCAAGATTAGTGTTCATTGTAACCGTCAGTCCTTCCTTGATAACATCAAAGCATTTTTGACCTATTTCATAGGCAATAGCTAAGGGCGTAGGCGACGTTCATGATGTTTAGATAAACGTTTGTTTTCTGGAGATCAAGTCCTTATCTGTTGATTTTATTCGAAACAGTTCGAACGCCTCTCTAGGCATAATTCGGTTTCACCAATTGAGTCCTCATGTCCGATGAGCATTCTATTCAGCTGAGGATCCGTGATCCTTAACCATTCGAAGATTAGCTGTCAACTGTTACTCATAAAACACCACTGTAGGTAAATACTGTATTTGGAATCAAAGCTCTACAGCGCACATGCCAAAGGTACGTTATGTTTTCTAAACCCCGAACTCTCCCACTGATATCCTTCCGTTTCACTTGTTCACTCTGAAAACCTACTTCGCGTCGATGAACTGGTCGCAAAGCACTTCTGGTCCTTAAGGCCGCTGATAAACGGGAGGGCGTTTTCATGGGTTCCATTTACGTCTGATCGTTTGCGTCAGTGCGTCTGGTATATACGCCTGATCAGCGGCACCATGGTGAAACCTTACGTCATGCCGGGCATGTGTGACCTGTTTTGCTTGAACAACCTGAAAAATCATCACAGTCAATTTCAGACGCCGCCGACACTTCCGGAGAGCACGGAATACGAATTGGAGGCCATGTTTCAAACTTGAGTTTCGATCTTGGGTCAGTGCCTGGGCGTTGGTATGAGACCGGAAACGAACATAAAGGCTGAATGGTCATTCTGGATTATTCTCAGTGTCTGTGTCTTGTTGGCTAAGCAAGGAATAACTGCTCATTACTCCTTCTTAGTGATTCTCAGTCGTTAGGCGTTCGATTCTCGGGATTTCTGATCACCAAGCTACGAACCATGTCGACACGCGTAAAACTTGTTTTTCTTGACTGAAGCCATTTCGGTCACTCACGCAGAAGTGAATGTGATTTTTTTCGATCATAACTCGTGACTTGTAATTATAAGCAAACATCAGAAAGAAACCTCGACTTGAAAACAAACATCAGTTTTAGTCCTGCTTTGGTCAATACGGTTTATTGGTCAATAGTTGACGCTAGCCTCATCCAGCTTTGTTGCGAATTTTTCTATTCAGCTCTGGAGATCAGCTTCAGAGAAAGCTAATAGGAAAAGTTCATGCAAAATGAGCGTTCATCACCTAAGCTTTTCCTCTTTGTTACATTTCCGTTGCACATGATTATCCTGTCTATATGCAAAATTAACAGAGGCAGGGGCATAGAAAACTGCTAGTGAACTCGAGGTGTAGCCACTAGCCTCAATACACCTCCGGCGACATAAGGCGATATAATAAATTGTAGCAGTTTGCCAGTCTTCCAGTTCGTGGAATGCAGGAATGGCGATCGAACGATCAACTCCAGGTTTCACATCGATCAGAAATTTCGTTCGTAGCACAACTAGAAGTGCTGTAGCATGAAAACGTGATATAGAGCACTGTTTATGC